AGTTCTGTCCATTATTTTATTATTTTATTATTATTTTATTATTTTTTTCATTTTTTTTGGGGGGGAACGACTCCCAAACCTTTTGAAGGTTTTGGAGTTCCGACTCCCAATTTCGGGGTTGGACGTCCTGAAGACCGTCCGCAGACGGTCCTTGTGACGTCCCAGAAATTTGGGAGTCGGAACTCCAATTTCTGGGAGTCGTTTAACTAAGTCCCTTAATTTTATTCTATTAATTATTGGCTTTAGAGAAGAGATCGTTTGACTGGAGGTCTTACAATGAGTTGGATGCAATGCATTGTTCAGGTTGATTCCAAAAGTTCTGAAATCTCTCCAATAAATAAGGCCTTACTCCCAAAGTTTCTTAAATTGTCCAGTGAAGCAATGTTGGTCCAGATACACTAACAGTGGCACTAACATAGCTGAGTGCCACAGCAATATATGTACTGAAATTTAGTGTAGTGAAGCATAATTCTGCCAGCTCTGCACAAACACTTTGCATGTAGGCTAAGAAAAACCACCCAGCGTGGTGGTCTTTTGCCACTCAAAGTGCAGTAGCATACATAACACAGTGTAGTGGCTCTAATGGTGTAACAAACCTACAGGATATTAGGGCTGCAGCCAGGGTTGCTATGTAGTGTAGTGGCCCAGTGCTGAGTGCAGAGAATCCACAGCTCTTACATTCTGGTCATCCCCACAATTGTTTTTCCAAGGTGTTGGAAATAGAATGACTTCTCCTCTTGCTTCCACACCACTGAAGACTAGGCTCATCACATGATCAAGTGACCCATCACCTCTTCATGTTGGAGCATCCATTAGATTACCAGCACTTCCTTCTCCTCATCAAAGAAATACCTTTCAATTTATACTCACTATTCTAATAACCCAAGACACACTCAAGCAAGAAAATGCCAATTTAATAATTGTGGATGGCCAATTTTGGTTGGAGTAAGAAACAGCATATTGGAAGTTTTCATAATCATGTGTATTGGGATTAATGAAAACTTTCTCAAAGGTAAGGCTATGCATGGTAGGTTGGAAAAAAACAGAAAATAAATGAAACTACACGATATAACTGATATGACTTGCTGATACTGCCCATCTTTCTTGATTTTTTTTTTTCTTGTCCAATGTCGTCACCAATCAAGAGCTCTTTGAGGCTATGAATGTCTGGCCGAGACTCATGGGGGTGATGAATGTAGTGCGACCGAAGTAAGTTGTGTGGTAGATGCTGTACGAAGGGCCTGCGAAGGCCTGCGATCACTGCGTGCCTGAGAATACCCCGGGGCAGGTTTTCGTTGGTTTTTTGGTGCAGAGACTTCACGCCCCGTTCCCAATCAAACCGTCCCGGACAAACGACCTCCTCTCCACTTCCCTTCACAATCAGCTTTCTGGACGAGAAACAGGATTCATCGTGACGATTGGCAACGACGGCCGACGGAACTAAAACAAACCAATCGAACGAGCCGAAACCGAAGCCAAGATGTCGGGTCGGTTCATGACCAGCTCAGGTCCCATCGGCATGGTCCTCCAACTCCCAACGGGCACCCGACTACTATGTGGGATCCTTTTGGCACTCTCTTTTCTCGTCCAACTCCTCCGCTTCAGTCTATCCGCAACCGATCTCAAAGCAATCTTCAGAGGCAGCACGGACGATGCGCTTGCCTTCCCGTGGCTGGTCGTGGTCCCCGGGAGCGTCATTTGGAATCCGTGGACCTTATTGACCGCTGGCTTGTGCGAAGTGGGTGTTATCGAAGTAAGTGGCTGAGAAAAAGTAAACCTCTTTTGTTTATAATATCTGGTTTTTAAATAATACTTCCACATGTCTAAATATCTTAATGACCGCAATTACATTTTTTTTCTTCTTTCAATTTTTCTCGTGTCCTTCCAATTTGTGTCTGACCTTTTGCTCATCCACATTTTTGCAACACAACACCAGTTAGTCTTCTCACTACTGACACTCTCGATGTGTGGAAGATACCTGGAAAGGGTGTATGGAACGACGGAATTCATCAAGTTTTGCTTGGCAACGATCAGCGTCTCAAATTTGATGTCTGTGGTCGTGAATATTGCCGAACATTATGTGCTCCATGATAGTGGATTGTATCTGTAAGTCTTCCTCCACTCTAGAAGACATTTGTTCGAAAAACAATCCAAATTGATCAATCTTCTGGTTCCTTTTGACTAACACAGTTACGGTTCCAGTTATCGCGGTATGATGGCCTTGCATGCTGGGTTTCTGGTTGCTTTCACACAACTGATACCGGAACATCAAGTCCAATTATTCGGTGTAATCAAAGTCAGGGTGAAGGTAACTAATCCAGCTTTCGTTTCTTGATGTGAAAAGTAAAGGTCTGATCTCAAGTAATTGCGTCTCCCTCTGATTCTAGAATCTGCCAATGATCTATGTTACCTTCTCAAACGTGATGTGTATACTTGGATATCAGTCGCCGTTTATCTTGATCCAAATGGGCTGGCTATCCTCGTGGTATTACCTGCGATTTATCCGGTGGAATGAGAGTGGTGAATTCCGAGGGGACCGTAGCGAAACCTTTGCATTCGCCATGTGGTTCCCTCCCTTTATCCAGTAAGTTCTACTAGAAACCTCCACGACTTGTCTTTGCCTACCCACTGACCAGCACCACTTTTTTTTTTCTCTTTTCATAAGGCCGCTTGTTAGAAGGTTGTCGGACGTCGGTTTTGCGATCGCTGTCAAATGCAAACTACTCAAACAATGGAGCCACACGGATCTCGAATCTGGTGGATATGCACCTGTTCCAGGCGGAGCTAGAGCAGAAGCAGAGCGCCGGAGGTAATGAACACCTTTTCGCCCAACTAACCCATGTTTCTGGAAAGAACCCAGCTGATCGGCTTGTTTCTCTTTATAGAGCGATGGCTCTCAAAGCCCTCGATCAACGGCTAGCCTCAAACAAGTCGACAAATGTGACCTCTCCGCCGGATCCTTCGAATCCGCTGAATGTCACCTCGCCTGGTAATCGGCCAACTACAGTCATCCCATCTCCAGCACAACCACCATTGACAGCTACTAAAACTTCACCAGTCTTTCAATCGGCTGGCATCTCTCAGGAACCTGATTCTCCCGCTGCCAAAGCGGAATCTGAAAAACGTTGATATTACTAGATAGATCTAATTCCCTGGTTTTATTTTATTCTATTTATATGTTTTGCTTTTTGGTGAATAACTCAAAATATACATAAATATATATGTTCTATGGATTGCGAATTTGTAAGCCCAGTTGTTGCATCTTTGTCTGGGGGAGCGAATACTGGTCACACATGGATCTCAGGCGACTGATCACCCTTGGTCAACGTTGTCACTAGTTTCTCTTTCCTCTTTTTCTTTTTCTTCTTCTTTTTTTGTTTTGTTCTCTTTTTTCAAAAAGTTTATTTTTGGTGGGAGCATCAGATTTGTAATACTTGGAGAGAGCTTTTATTGTACAGTTTTTTTTTCTTTTCTCCTCTTTTTTTAGTCTTCCTTCCAAAAAAGAAACCTACTTGAATGATTAGGCCAGGTTATTTTATCATGAATAGTATTTCTTCAATGAAAAGTAAATATTTAGCAAAACATTAGCCAATCGGCAACTTTATGTTCCCCATCAGATGCCCCATCGGATGATGGAGCTATCAGGGCTATGATGGCTTTACATCCTAGGGCAAAGAACTGTTTGCCCACTGGATCATGTGTATATGACCGTCGTGTTGAGTTTGCCATGCTTTTTTCTTCTTCGCCTCGTGAATCTCGCAGCAATCATGAGCTTTCTTTGGATGATTCCATGTTTGGTATCCAGTACCTCAGCTGTATGATACTTGAGACTGTGGGGTCAATATATCATGTTGTATGTGAGGTAAAAGAGTTGGATGTGGGTGGGTGTTCAGCGAGGGACCCTTGCTGGATTCTCTGGGTGAAACGAAGGCAGAACAAGAGGGAGACTTTCGCTGGTGACCATCGATGGAGCAGAGCATCAGGTCCAGAAGCAGCAGAGTGATAGACCATGTTTTTTTAAGGGAACGGTCAACTCAACAGGAGACACTCCGCCGGTGATTCACCTCCCCCAAAGCCAAGATGTTGATGATAGTAGCACTCACCCAACACGATAACCACCAGTCAACCTCCTCTCAAAACTCGACACTCAAACCATTCCAACTCACCTTCACTCAAGGCTTCATCGTCGGCCAACTGTCATTGTAGGTCGCCTTCTCTCCCTCTCTGCTGTCTTCAATAATTCGACTCTCGCTGATTGACTCTTTGTTCTGTGGTCTTCAGTTTAGTACTCGTTATTTGTTTCGTAAGGTATGTCGTCTTTGAAGATCCCAAGTCTTCACAGAATAAGAAACCAATGGGATCACAACGGGTACGTTCTTGATCTCCCTCTTCTGTCCTTGCCTTACTTGTTTGTACAAAATTACTGACCCTACATTCGGTTACATATTTCCCCCAAAAAATCAGAAAGCGTATAACCACAACCCCACCGTTCGGCGTACTAGCAAACAATCCAGAAAGCTCTCTTTCCATGACAAGTCACACGGAACCGCCGAGTCGGAGCTCCTATCCAAACTGCCATATGACCTATCCAGTCATCCACCCGAAACGACAGACTGGCTGAACGTCCTGCTTGCACAAGCTATCATCGCCTATCGTAGTCTCGTTCACGGCTTAGACGACGATCCGACGATGCCAAAAGGGAATAAAGCAAAGGAAATGGTCGAGGAAGCTATGAATTTTGCCCGTGGGGAAAGTCCGGGAATTATCAGTGTCGTGGGTGTCCCCTGTTTTATTCTTCTTCTCCTTCAATCTTCCAGACGTCATGCTGCAGAAATTCATTCTCGTCCCTTTTTCTTATAGGATTATATCACCGTCACTGAAGTCGAATTCGGAAAGGAGTATCCAGTCTGTACAAATGCAAGAGTTAGACCAGCAGATGAAACCGGAAGAATGGTAAGTCATTTGTTCTCTTGACCACCTGAAAACAACATGCCCGGAACCTGTCAAAAAACAAAGCTCAATGGCAAATTTCAATTTATATTTTCCATATCTACAGAGGATCGAAATCGACATCGATTATTCTGATCGAGTCACATTAGCGATCGAAACCAAAGTCGTCGTCAATTTCCCGACCGCTCGATTTGCGGTGTTGCCCATTTCATTAGGCTTAACCCTCAATCAACTATCTGCTACCGTAGGTCCAAAAAAACAATCACTCCTTCTTGGTTAACTTGGTCAATTACTGATCTGACTGCATTTATTTTATGATATGTGTCCATCGACAGATTATGGCTGAGATTCCACCGATCGCGATCCCATTACCGATGAATGACGATCCATCAGCACCATCGCCGGCGATTTTGATGTCACTGGATCCAGACTTTACTTTATCGATGACAACCACCTCATTGTTAGGTTCACGAGCGAAACTACAGGATATACCGAAGATTGAACAGCTGATCTTGGGAAGATTGAGAGGATGGATTGTCGACAACCTAGTATGGCCGAAGGTGAGGGTGTTGAAACTACCGGGACTTGGGAACAAAGGTTCGGTGGAAGATGCGGCAGATGGGGAGGGCGAATACGTTTGGGTCGAAGGGACCACCAAGGAGAAGAATTCGACCAGCAAAGAGTCAAAACCAAAGAGTATCATTCGTGAAGCCGATGAAGATGAAGGGCCCAGTTCGAGTGCCACAAGCTGCGAACCCCCACGCGGCTTGAGCCATTCTACTCTTGGCTTGTCTGCTGGGATTCCCCTCAATCCCAAATACCATCGGAGCACCGCGTCTGGTTCTTCTTCCAGGGCCGCCAACATCCCACTCTTATCGCCCTCCGAATTGACCGAACTGGCCAGCCGGCAGCGGCATCCATCAACGAGAACGGATACTCGACAACAAGCTCCACCTGATTCAGATGGCTATTCGAGCCACCCGAAGCCGCCTGGAGGATTACCAAACTCGGCACGCTCGATCGGTAGTTTTCCGGAAAGCCCACTGCCGCCGACTCTTTCGCAAGATCATCTCAAGAATTCTGTTACTCACCATGAATGGCTCAACTACCCACGATCCCCCGACACGCCCACCTCGGCCAGCAACCGCTTGGCAGAAGACCGAGGTCGCTGGGCCCGGGCTGGTGGCATGAGTGGCGTCCCCCTCGGCTTGGGCGGCTCGCAAACACCGAATCTGGGCTATGGGATCCGCGAACGGATCCGCGAGGCTGAACGACTCAAGGGCCTACGCGCTAATGATCTTGATGACTCGTTTACTTCCCAACGGTGACTTCTGCTATATCCATCCCATTCACCCTTCTGTTGTGTTCTAGATCTACATTCTTCTATATAGTTTCACCTTCACTTATACACACACATCTTTCTCTCTACTCTAGTCATACATTCATGCACTATTTTCAATTCACCCCTCCATCCCAATTTCTCTCGCAATTTACGCCCTTACACGCCTCAATTTGTTCACAATCAGGGTTGATTATATCTGGAGAGACACTCGTCAAAAAAAATGAATCGAAATTTGGAAGAAAAATAAAGCCCTGAACAATTGTCAAGTCTTGCAACCCACATAGCTTTGTTGGATGATCTTCATTGATTCAGGAAGCGTCCCCGGGACCTGTCGTCGGCCAAAAAGGATTGCGTTGTCGGGGATTCGAACCCCGGACTAAAGCTGGTTCTCCCCGACGGGGGTGGAAGGCTTCAATGCTAACCACTACACCAACAACGCCATGTCTGCGGCCTCAGTAATTCGGTATATAGTCCTGTTTCCTAAGGGAAAAAAATTCTAAAGTTGGTTATCCTGAATTGAGCAACAAGAAATTATCCAAAAGGATGAGATAATAGTTTCTGACCAGGCGGGTTGGACCATATGTTTAAAGTAGGTTGTGCCATAGTGGATTGATTTCATGTCAGTAGATCATCAAGGATGCGGATGCTATCAAAAACATCAGTTATCGTTCTTGATTTTTAGCCGGCTTCACTGGGGGAGCTTTTGATGACATAATCTGGACACTGCTTGTTGCTCTTGTTGGTGTAAACTTAGTGTGGGACTCTGGCAAAAGTCGACCAAGAAGTGCAAAAAAAAAAAATGGTTTGTAATCTCTTGGCCTGGTCAAAATCATTGAGGGTGATTTCCCCATGGCAAGAAGTGAATGATGTATCATTGGGATGACTGTTTGTAAAGACTTCACTGGTGGATGGATGTGTTGGAAAGTGGGCTTTGTTGGAACTTTGGTTCAAGATTGTTGAGGCCATCATTGTGCAAGCACCCCTGCTCAGCAGCTTTGAGCTCCTTGAAGTTGGAGGAATGAGTGGTGACAGATCAACACTGTGAGGATGAAGAGACACAACACTGTTTATATGTGCAGAGCTGATGTGTACAGTCCACTGTGAGCAGGGGCAATGGTGGAGCTGTGGGGAAATGGATTCTAAACACTTCAGGACTACATAGGCCTGTTAAATCCTCCTGAAACATTGTTCTCTATCTGTGAAAGAGGACGGCCTTTGAAAAGTTGCCCTGCATGTGGGGGTGGTTATGTTTGGATCAAGTTAATTTACCAATCAAAATGAATATGCATTCAACCAAGAAGCGTCGAAGCATCAACCGCTGCGATTGTACATAGAGCGAGGAAAGAGTTGTCCCAACGACGCGCAACTTGTTTTTCTGAAATAGAGAAGCTTCAAGTCGTTGACCCAAGAGTACATATGTATGTATTTTATTTTGTTTCGGTTCAAGCAACGGTCTCCAAGGGATTATTTTGATGATTGACGACTTGGATCGAGTATTAATATGAACAGCTCGTGAATCCATACATCTTGTGTGTTTCTGTGACGGTACTTTGGGAATACTCGATCTGACTCGGCTGTTGTTGTCTCATTCTTCGATCCTGTATTCTATGTGTAGCCGGTGCGACCAACAAAGGAGATCGTTTCAGGCTGTTTCAGGTTCCCGAAGTCTCTCAAAGTTCAGCTACCCTTCTGCAACATCCCCCATCCCCCTCCAACCAACCGAAACATTTCCATATTCGAACTCAAGCATCTTTTCGACAATCCTTGGATGACCTCTCACTCGATCGCCATCCTGGAAACCTCGAGCTAGTCGAACCCATTCGATTATTCGTACAACCCACTCATCTAAAACCCAATCGCCCCGCCCCACCCCGCCACGCAAGCCACCACCTTGAACTTCGAGAGAAGAAAGAATTGAAATCTCGTTCGAGCTCAGACCTTCTTTCCCGGAAGGATAACCGCGATCGGCATTGATTGGCTTACCTAGGACCCGTCGATCTCTTGTAAGCCAGCGGTTGAATTTTTTTTTTCCCTTCTTTCCGTGCTGAGTCATCCGAATGATGTACCGAAATAGTAAAAGGGTCGATTCATCGCTCACTTGCTGTCCAGACTATTCAAGTCTTTTTGACCAGAAATCTGATGGGAGTCTTGTAGACTTGGGAGGAGTCGGATTGATATCTCCGGGTGCTCTTCCTCCTGACCCTCTTCACTTTGGCTGTCTTCAATCTCTCAACCACTCACCATATCAACCATTTCTCTCTTGCTCTCTTTGGCTTGTGCTATCTCGCTACTGTTCTTCTCACTGGTCTCTTTCCCGGTCGGCTCTCGTTTATGGCTCAGAGAGTTCATTTCAGATCGTAAGGCAAGACCAACATCTCACCGGGGGTGTGGCCTTGGCCAGTATTGGATGGTCTCAAAGCATCTGTCAGTTTATTCTGATGATCAGTTTTGTTTTCATACAAACTTGATTCCTTCAATCTCGCCATCGTCATCATCCTCAGCTCTTTTGTACACCTCCTTTGGTGTGCATCTAGACAGATTTCTGGTTGATATATCTTTGCTATATCATTTTGCAGTTGTGTGTTCGAGAGAACCACTCCTCCAGTTCATCCCAGTTATCATGCAAAGGCAGGAGCTCATATTCATCTCGCTCCGTCATCTCTTCTCTTTCTTTCTCCTCCCTGTTTGGTTTCCCTCTCTCTTGTTTCATTCTTCGGAGTGTCACATTTGACTGGAAAATCAAGAGGGCGATGATTGATTGGGTGGAGTGACAGAGTGGGAGCCCTTTAGCCAGTCAAGCTCAACCTCGAGTACCACTCCGAAGGCAACTTCTCAGTGGTAATATTCACTCGGGTGGGTGGCCACGGAATGGAATTCTTTTTGAAGGGTAAAATACTCAACATTGCAATCAGAAGACATATCTTCATCAGCCCTCAAACTCACAATCTTCTAGGTACCTTCAGAGTTTTTGGGGGTGGATAGATTGCAGACATCAACACGGAACAGCGGCTCGATGTGATGGCTTAAGAAGCAGTGAAGCTGAAACGGTTGATTGGATTAGGTTGAGGGTGTGATCTAGCCTAGAAGAGCTCATTAGAAGTATTTCCTTGCAGTATATCTAGACAACTCCCGAGCATCATGCTCTATCTCCATTTTCTAGGACGTCAGCTGCTGATTGTTTGGGTTGCAAGGAATCGTTTGAAAATGATAATACTTGGCAAAGTGCCACACTGACGGAAATGATCAACTCAGTCACAATTCGAAGATCCCTAAAATTCTTGCAATAATTGAAATTCAGTTGCTGACTTCTGACACTCTTCTCACTTCCAGGTATTCCTTGATAGATCCGCTTGTTGATTTTACAATTACGTTAACTGGTACCTCGAAAGGGTTTTTGGAAATACATCGACTGTAATCAGCACCTAGAAGATAAAGAACATGGCCTCAGCTTACATTGCCCACTTAGGCGACCTCAGTACACTCTTTAGCTTCGTTGGGTGGTGGTTCCTACCCGGATACGTTTCGTCGACGGTTCTTGGGATTTTCTATCGGATATTCCCTGCACGTCGCCCTAAAGCTCCAGAACGTGGATCAACCAACCCAGATGAAAAACCGATCTATAATCCAATACATGAACTACAGAAGTCAGAATACGATCGTCGAGCCCGTCGTCACCACTCGATCGCACACGGTCTCGTAATTGGTCTCTATCTCGGATACACATTGATTGTTGACTATCAAAAGCAAACCGGTTCCAATTATTACTCCGTCTTGGGTATCCAATCCAACTCACTCGCTTTCAACAGCACCACCCAAAGTGTACCTGAGAACTTGAATACAGTCAGAACTCAAATCATTCAAGGGGATTTGCTCGACGAAGCCGGATTGAAGTCTCACTGGCGCCGAGTGGCCCGTTCATTTCATCCAGACAAACTCAACCCACCTGCCGGATTAAGAACTGAAATTGAGATCGCTGAATGGAAGGGCAATGTGGAAGCAAAATTTATTCGAATGAGAGAAGCGTATGAAACTTTGAATGATAATACCAAACGATGGGCCTATGATCGGTATGCGCTTTCTCCCATTCTCAAACTCGTGCACAAACGAGCTCAGTGTGGCATAGTAAAGCTTACCTGACTGATCTGGCTGTATTCAACATCTTGTAGATTTGGACCAATGATTTTACAATGGAAGAATTGTATCACCTTGAGAGAATACCTGATCGAAGGAATCAAGAACACCTGTCCATTTTATGGCTTTTCCTTTTCGTCTTTGCTGGTGATAGGAACATTGAGAAAGACGGACGCTGGTACATTTGTGAGTATTGATCTTTGTTTGATTACATGTCTCTATGCCTAATGGAGATGTTTATCTAATCAAATTCATCGAATCTTCATGGCAATTGAAAAAAAAAAAAAAAAAAAAAAAAAGTGGAGATGGACGATAATGCTGCTAGTCATTGGACTGGAAGCAATGATCCTAACATCGACTTCACTCACCCGTGTCTCGCTGGTGCTATCACGAATTTTTCCAAACCGGGCACCATTCGAACACATCGAACTATTGCGACAATTTTTCATCGCGAGTTCCTGTGTAGCAACGCAAATCTCTGGTATTATTTACTCGGTACCAGAAGAGATGAACAAAAACCGATCGCTTGAGAAAGCAATCGAGCCCATGTTGGGCTTGGTCGACCAGGTCCAGGAGTATTCTAGTCTCGCAAACGTCGAGCTGATCAAGTTGATGTTCAATGACTTGCATCCTATCATCAGGAGCCCTAGTGGGAAGGACAAATCCGGCAATGATAGCCTTAATACCATCCCTGAGGCCGAAGCAAATCAACTGTCTCAGGATCAAAGTGTTGAAGTCCAGAAGGTAATTTCTGATGTCAAAAACAAAATGCTCGATGTAAGTGCTGTTCTTCTTCTTCTGGATCGACATCGTGGCAATCTATCCCCTTCTTTCTTTTTGGACTTACGGATCTGACGCTGACTTTTGTAACTTCTGGTAGACGTTTTGTGATCTCAAACTTCAATCGGATCCCAACGGCCAAGCTGCTTGGATTCAAGCTATTCGGAGTAAAGATTCTACTGAATAAATCTACTGAACAACATTCTCCTTTCTTTTTTCTTTTTTCTTTGGGCATTTTGGCAGGTTTCTTGTAGAGTTTCTTTTTCTTTTCTTTTTGATTGGAGTTGGTTATCCTCAAGTTCGTCAATTTTGTTGTGTCTAAGCTTTTTTCTTTAATTGATTCATTCTGTCGATCATTTTTTTCTTCCTTTCGGTTTCATAGTTTTCATATCTCGTACTTTCCTTTGTTGGCCAGATTCCCATCCAATTCCCGGCTATCATCAACCTTCCCTTTTCCCATTTTTTTTTTGCGTTTTAATGTCCAAAGAATGGAATCACTGCAACTTGTTTAATCATAATAGAAAAATTGATCGTTGTATCGAATGATTCATCGCACATCGAAAGTTGTTGTGGTCTGAAGCCAGTTAGGTCTAAGTGTCTCCCCTGGTCAACATAATGCCAGGTCTGCATAAAAAGAGCAGACAACGTCAACACTGCTCGATGGTAACATGCTTTGTATGCATCAAGGGCAGTTCATATTGCACCCTGACAGTTGCAAGTCCATTCCTGACAGTTGCAAGTCCATAACAAGGTTTACCTGGGTTTGAAGTATAATTACAGAGTCTAACTGCAGTGTTGGACTGGTGCATGGCCAACTTCACAGCTGTTGATCACTTTGTGATTGTTTATAATCATTCCTCAGAGAGTCCAGGCATATCCAAATGTAAAATCATCCAATCCCTCAAGTTGCATGCTGTTTTTTTTTCCTCACAATGCTTGTTGGTATCAGGCATTGACTAAGCGTATCTATTCAAGACTTTCCCGCTTAGTTGGCTGCGAAACAGTTCCATTGTTGCGAGAAAAAAAAATGTTTGATTTATTTATTTTTTGGATCCATCAAGGAATAGGAATAAAATGAAGGCCATAAGATATCTGTGAATAAATTTCTTGTGGGATGGGTTTGCTAGTATTCTATAATTCCGGTCGCCGATCTATAGCCATCATAGATGCAAGTGCCGTTCATGGGGATGTACTGACGCGTGATCAATTTGATCACTTCTTGGGAAACTAAGCCGCCCACTAGACTCGAGATGTGCGGCAATTCGGAGCCCGCTGATCTGACCCTACACACACACACAGATTCAACAGGAAAAAAAAAAAAACAAGGATCGGGTTGAGCTCAAGAAAGGCCAAAAAAACAAACAAACAAGAGGACATGAAAAAAACAAAAGTCGCCTACATTTCTTTCAATGCTTGTTGCAGTTTCTCAGGCACCCCAGCCTCGCCCAGTCCATGAGCCTTTAACTTCGCATGGGCGATCGACGAAAGCTTGCGCTCATCTTCCTCTTCTTGTCCTTTCCGGATCCCCGGATACTCGCCTTGATGGGCTGTCCTGTAGGCCGATAAGGCTTCGAATGCCAAGTACCAGGTCGCCGTCGTCTCTTCGTTTTCCGGCTCACATTCCCTCTGGAACTTGGCCACTTCGATGGATTTTAATCGTTGGAGAGAGAAAAAAAAAAAAAAACAATACCGAGAAAAATAGGAATGGTTATATATAGGTGTAACATGCGTTATGAAGAGTGCTCTCAAAATCTTCCGGATCTGCTCATCGATAACATCACTTACCGAAATCCTTCGAAACATCAGAACCATACCGGCGTCCTCGAATCACACGTATATGGGCCGAGTTTTTAACAAACGTCTCGACCATTTCGGAGTATAAATCGAGTTGGGGAGGGTCGTGATAATGGCCTGATTCACTTTGGGGTTCGTCTTCATCAACATCTTCGATCGACTCGGCCAGTTGATTGACGATCTCCTTGAACGCTTTCAAGTCTTCCGCGGCCTTTTGACGATAGATCGCTTGCATCTTGATGTAGTTCTTGGTGTCCGACTTCATGTCCGGTAGGACCCCCGATAACGGTAAGCGGTGGCTCGGATCCCGCGCCACAAATTCCCGCAGGCTTTTCACTAGTAACCAAAACCTGCCGTCAAACCATGGCAGTTTCTCGCAATGCGAATCGTTGAATAATTCTTCAACGTGTGTCGGTACCTATAGTACAACAATTTATTCAATACATGTTCAGAGAGAGGTCTGTTTCAGGGTTTTGACCGCTCATAACTTGCATGTGAGATGATCTCAAAAAAAAAAAAACTTACCTTAGTCGGTTGACAGGCTTTCCAGATCATGCTCACTGCTTCATCAAAGTTATCTTCGTCGGCGCCTCTCTTCTCAGCCAAGATCATCTGCTTCAATTCTGCTCGTTCGGCTGAACCTTGAGGTAGTTTTCCATCGTGCTGCCATCCAACAGAGATATGCATCAAGTTAAGCAAGTGATCCTCCCTCTGACAGCCAAAGCATTCCAGATTGAACACTGACTTTGGACTTGAAGATTTCGAGAAAGTGGATGATGATGACAACGGCCGGGACATGGGCGTGCTCGTGACTGTCCATCTTGTCCATCTCGAATGAGTTGACGTATTCCAATAAGGATGGAAAGGGACAATCCAATCTGAGATCGACTAGGGACTTGGAATGGGTTTGGATAACTGTAATGATTTCAAGAAGTTAAATTGATCAATAGACCCGATAGGAAACGCTATACACTGAGGATTCATAGCATGATGAGTAGACTTACCACTTAGCTCACGAATCTGGAGCCGAATGCTTGCCACTAAGCCGCAAGTCTGGACCAAAATTGCGGGCACATTGAAGTCCCAGCAGTAGCGACTGGTGGCCTGCTCGTCATCATGGAGCATTCGGACGCAGATCTTGGCCGTCCATTCTGCCAATCCGCTATAATCCTCGATCCCATCCCAGTGTTCAGAGTCGTAGATTTCGTCGTCGTTGGCGTGGACCGGATTGTATTTAGAGGTGCTTAATTCGCCAAGCAATCGACTGCACTCGACCGCTCGACTCTTGCCCAAGCTCGCTTGTTCTAAAAAGAAATGGTTCCCGATGTCCGATTGTCGCACTTTTCCTTTGTCGAACATCTCGACCATCCTTATTCCTGATAACACTAAATTTTTGGCGATTTGAGCTGAGGTTGATGAACAATCGCAGATCCCTACCGCCCCTTCTTCGAAGCGCTTTTGCCCCGAGCTCTCCCATAGCCTGATCCGTCAAAGTTAAAACCCATCAGTTGGGTATCTGCTGATTCAGGAAACCGAAGAGTTGAGCTAATCAGACTGACCTCAATTGTCTGTCAAATCTAGAAAAATTGTAAATTCGCAGATGTGCGTTCGAAAGCTCGAGGTCAAATCAAACGAGAAATGAAAGGTGCGCTTTGAGATCGGAGACTTCAGGTAACTTACAGTTGAGTTTGACGATCGGGTCTTTGAGGGGCAAGGGGAGGGGAGACAGATTCATGAAGGCATCAAGAGAGAAGTCTCGACCCAAATGGTTCAGCTAAAATGAGAGTGAGGATGTGTACATACCGCGCTGAGCTGGGGCTGATGAATGCGGACTCTTGGGTTGCACGGTGATTGTCTGCCATGGTTTTAGGAATCTTGTCCGGCGACTCTGAGCTATCGACCTCGGCTTCTCTTTTCATCGGGAACGCGCACCGCCGAGTCAACGGGTTGGTCGTCGCCTCGGTTGAATGTCGACCGGGATGTTCTTTTTTTTCTTTCTTTTTCTTGGTTTTAATTGGTTCAGGTTGGTTTCACTTGGAAGGTGATTGAGAAATTTAATTGTAGGTTGCCTTCACACGATCGGCTATGTGTAAGGTGTGCATCAAAGATGTGGCTCGTCAATCAACGCAGCTGATGACGCATCGGCTAAGTAGGCTAGGCCACCATCACACTAAAAGAACGCAAGCTGGTTTTCAGACGAGCGAAGGTATCTTACGTTTTCGTCCACCAGCTCCCCTCAGCGTCGGCCCGGCGTTCCACCCATTTACGATCAGCTGGAACAAAGTCACCGCGTTCCTGCGGTCGTCGCACCCGGTGCGCCAAAGGCACCTCAGCGCGCACCAGCCAGGCTAAGTCGACTTAACTTGACTTAATCTCTCCTTGGTTTTGGAGCTGAGGCACTATCCCCGACTTCTCCCAGTCCAAGTTAAGTCCACCATGCAACTAGTCTTCACCACTAAGGTAGTGAGAGGGAGGACTTTGTTAAGTGAGGCAGCTAACACCGCTCTAGTTAATGAGCAGTTCTAAAGAAACATGGAAATAACATGTCAGTCCAACCAGACCAACCAGTGAGGATACAAGAACTAACGTCACGTGAACTAGCTTAGGTGGCACAGTTGGTTGATCTCTTGAAAGGGTTTACCCACCCTTGGGACAGCCGCAAAGACAGCAATATAAAGCTTGTTTGTACATGCAGCCCCTGGGTCAAAAAGAACAATCTCATAGGCTCTCATAGGTGCAGCACAATCCACGTGGTTCTGCCAAAGGGTTGAGTGGTGCTCAATTATGACTCCATAATTCATCACCATAAAGTCAGAAATGATTTATCATGTGAACTTCAAATTATATATATGTATTTTTTTAATTAAGCATGTTGCAGCCAAACACCATTCATCACATGATGTTGAATTGACCAAGGTAAAAGGGTACAAGTTTCACATCAATGTGGATGTGTTTTGGGGATCATTTCAGACTACTTGATATTTGTTTTTTCGAAAACAAAACAAAAAAAGAATTGTTGATAAGCACCATCAATTTCCATTCATGGATCGTCCTACTTACATGTAAGATACATACACAGAGATATGCACCTGCTCCCTTGACAACAAACTGTTGCAAGACAAACAAACCACTCCATGAAGATCAAGTCAAACAAATCGATCCCTCTTCTATCCACCAAACCAAACCAAACCAAACCAAACCAAGCAGAGTGTGTATAGATGAAGTGTATCATATTAAATTATATGTGTATTTGTATGTATGTATGGCCAGTGTTGTATGTCTGATCAAATATATGCCAACAATCAATCTAGAAAACAAAAAGAGAAAAAGAAAAAGCAAATCAACCAAACAGAAAGAATGAGGTGGGAAAACCAATAGACCAATCAATTGATTATTTCTTTGAATCAGAAAGAAAAAAAATAAGAAAAGAAAATCTTAATAAATAATCATTTACATGTATTTTTATTGGATGTAGTATGTGTATGTATGGAGTAAACAAAAGTAATTCTAAACAAAAAAAAAGTTGAATGCTATTAATTAGAAAAAAGAATCAGTAAGTGTATATGTATCTAAATGAATGTACTATTAATAATAAAGAAAAAAAACAAATAAGTAAGTAAAAATGAGTGGGTTTTTTTTCTTTTAAAATCAATCTGAACACAGTACTTAAGAAAAATGAGGAAAAAAGAAAGAGAGAGGAATGAGGAAGGAGGGAAGGAGTGATCCAGATGAATTAATACTTAAAAAAAGGGTACTTGTAATGATTTGTGAAGAAAGGATGACATAGAACTTGAATGATGAAAGAGGTCAAGGAAGGAAGAAAGACAACAATTGACTTGTCCAATGAAGATGCAAACAGCTAAGGAGAGAGAGGATGAGAGGACAAAGCAGGACCAAACAAATAAGTACATACAAACAAAAAAGCAGCAAAGCATAGGAGAAAGTAGAAGAAAGGAAGCTCAAGATGACAGAAGGACATATGGAGATCTCAAGTAGGAAAGGCGATCGCGAGGGAAGACATAGTATTGGAAGGCGTATCAAAGTAACTCTTAAAAGCCGAGAAATCTTCTGAGGGTTTTTTCGAGACAACAGCAGCAGAAGGTTGAGGATGTTCGACGGTATGATTAGCTTTGTTTGGGTGGTTTCTTTTGACAGGGCCAGAGGATTGATGGAGCTGGTGTCGATGAGATGATTGAGACGATGGTTTGTTAAGGGCCTCGATGCTGCCGGCCCTTTGACGTCCGATCCCATTATTTGTCTTAGGTGGGTTGTTATTAGCTGAGCCAGAAGTGCTACCTGCTCGACGTCTCGCCAATGGAGCTCTGGAGCTGATGGCAGGCGATAAAGCCCGGCTCGCACCCGCTGCAGCTTTCTTGGCCAACGTACTAGTTGTTGGTGTCTCGTATCGATACTGTGATGTAACAGGTAGGGTGGTCGTGTGGTTTGTCGTCGCAGTATGTCCCCCAGCCGAGGAACGGTGATGATGGGCTGAGGATGATCCACATGGAGACAGGCTTCCCGAGACGCCTTGGAACTGGTGGCCGGCCGGGACTCGGTTGGAAAATTTGCTCACCGCTGCTGTCCTCTTTCCAATAACTGATTGAGTCGTCGGAGAAACAATCCGGGTCGCTGGGGCGGGATTGCTCGTGAATTTCTTGGATGATGTTGAAACATTAGAGGTCAGTTTCGTGACATTCTTGTTAGTTAGCGTCCCTTTGGTCAGAGGTGCAATGGGTGCAATGATCGGTTTGGGGTCATCCTGTTCGTAGGAAAAACTGGACAGGCCCATGTACTGGATTAGCCAAGATCTGATACAAATGCATGAGCAGCTGATGCCTACCTCATGGCACTCTCGCGTCTGATACGCTCGTACTCGTCCGTCCCATTGGAAGTCAGAACCACACGTTCAGGCGGGAGGTCACTGGCACCTGAAGCTGATTGGATGGGAACCTCGCTGGGCTGTTGGGCGGTTGAGCTGGCTGTATTGTTCGCCATATCATCCGCGTGGGCTTGATTAGCCTCTTTCAAGACAATAGAAGGATGCTTCTCCCATCTTTCGATTTTAAGGAATTTGTAGAGGTTCCTTTCTTGACCAGGCAATAGGCGTTTACCCTTCTGTTTTTCTTTCAACCAGGAGGGATAGCTTGTCGACATTCGAGTGACGCCTACCCGTTGACATCGTAGAACAACATCCGAAAAAACAACGAGCCAAACATCCCGCTTGGAGCCAAGAGTGGGCTGCTTACTCTCAGTGCCGACCATATCTGAAAGCCTGCGGAAAGACTTCTGTCCTTTGAGGATACGCAGACGATCGATAGTCGTCTTCTCTTTTTTCCCAGTCGGACTGAGCAGGTTACGGGAGGATATCGGGGAGACTGCCCGACTGCCTTCGGCCACATCAGACAGCGTTCGCTTTTCTTTGCCAGGTACCGGTTGCCAAACCGATTCCTCAGACATGAGAAGGCGATCACTTTGAGGAACCATGAGTGCCTAAGGATGACAAAACCAGTATGATTAGCTGCGAATTACAAAAATTACATAGAAAATTGAGATATTTTACCTTTTCATTGATGCCGTCAATCCGGGACCATACATCGCGAGCTTTGCTTCGCTCTTCTTCACTAATCTTCCCATCTTCAATACTCCTAACAATCCCATCTATCGAAATTGCCATAGCTTGAGCACTCTCGTACTCGTGGGTAGATGCATCGGTACTGCCAGGATAAGAAGAAAAAAAAACTTGAATGCTGTGACACAAGGATAAATATAGAAAAGTCTCAACACTCACTGGTAAAGTAGATTTTGGAATAATAAGGGGTACTTGAGAAGTCTTTGGAACGGTTTAGACAGACAAATTGCCAGTCCGCATTCACCTTGGACAGCTGCGTGTTCTTCCAGTATCTAAAACGAGATGGGACAGGGGTGAGCATGGGACTGAAAAGGTGTGATTGATACATGGCTAACTGACCATGATGATACTAGCAAGGCGCTTCATTTCCTTCGGCGCAGAAGAATTCTTGCGTCCCACGACGGCCAAAGCTTCTTCGATGTCCCGCAGAGCACGTTCAAGATGCTGGACATAGACAGCATAGGTCTCGATGATCCAAGTCTAGAAAAAAAAAAAAAACTCCGTTCAAAACGCCTTGAAGCAGGATAGAGAATCTGATGGAGAGTCGAGAGATCAAGCTTACTTGTTCGGCCCAGACTGATGTCAAGTCCCGGACGAGCGGGAATTGTTCGAGATATTTTTCCTTGAGTTGTACGCTCAAATCTTCATGACCCCTAAACATCCCATCATTGATGATATTGAAAATGATCCTGAGCGACTCAGGTAAAAGGTATTCGAAGTTGGCATGATTGGTGAGAGCTTGCTGGATAGTTTCCTGATGAGCTTTATGAAGTTTGTTGGGTGGATTGGGCGGTCGAAGGTAATGTCTGATACCACGTAAAGTGGAAGCGGCCTTCGAATTCATGTGTGGGACTGAGGAGCTTGATTGGTTGAAGTTGGGGAGAGTCTGTGCATTGGGCTCTAAGTCGGGCTGGGATGATCTCTTCGAACGAATTCCAAAGCGATTGAAGGAGATGCGATTATGATTAGCAGCATTTTTATCGCTCGGGGACAGGGCTCCAGTAGGATCAGGAGATGTGATAGGAGCAGTGGATGGTACAGGGAATGTGTGAGAGTCTTCTGATTCCATGTCAGGTAGATGATCTTGACTATGGTTGGAAGTGTTGCGAGAGCATCTGGACGGACTTCGAACGAATTGGGCAGCAATTGGGAGGAAATCAGAGGCGGTGGTGGGAGGAGTCAAAGTCGTTGGCGAGCTTGAGGAGACACTGCTGTAGCTCTTGAAGAAACTGGATTGGGTATCGGTTGCTGGGGGAGATAGAAGAATTGGGGCAATCATGGGATAAAGTATCGGAGTAATGTAGTTGTTTCGGAGAGACTGTGAACCAGAAACCGGGAACTAGTCAGATCTTATTTTCTTGGGACCTGAGATAACTTTGAGAGAAAAATTTAACTGACAACTAGTTCGGAAATGTAACGCTCCTCACTGGCCACGATTTCCCAGAGAACTTCCTGACGCGTCCGTTCTCTCCCGCTCAAGTTTTCGACCAAATCTAGGTCGGTCATTTCACTCCAGGTCATCGGCTGGTAGATGTCTTCGCCCAATCGCCCGCCAATCACATTTCCGCCCCAAGTGTCAGCAGGGCCGATCACTCCACCAGAGCTTCTCCGGACTTGGTATCCTGAGCTGATGGTTGATAGGGGTGTCATGGGTCGATATCCGGTGTTGGGAGTTGGAGTCATCCTGTCGCCATAGGTTTCGCGAGATGGATCCGGGGATGGAAGAGATGCGGAGTGTCCGAGCTGACTTCCGGACTGCGATCCTGCACTGCCATCGGATCGCCACCCGGTCGATCCTCCGGCAGCCCGATGGGGAGACATGACGCTGGCGGGGGGATGGTGAAAGGAAGATGTATGGGCGTAGTTCATAACCGTCCTGGTTGAGCCGTGAGTGTTGCCAGCTGCAGAGGAAGATCGAAGGGAGGGATGTGATGGCTGGGGTGTTGGAGGAGTGGTTGGTCGGGTGGTCACAACTTTGGCGTAATGTAAGGCATATCGAAAAGAGAGCAAGCAGGTAGAGAGATCACCGACGTGAGAAGAAAGTTCCGAGTTAGCTATTTTTGACCGTTCCGCAGAGTGGCGATGGTTTTTCAAGAGGAGTAATGTGCAGTTTGAGTAGAGTGATTAATACATAATAATAAATATATATTCGAGAAATGAATCATACGGAGCAGGGTTGGGAGGTTGGACATCAGACTTAGCAACTCTTCAAGGTTTCCGACACGACCGGGAGCAGCAATCTACTGCTAGGTCTTGGAAGTCAAAAAGAACATCGATTCCAAACCGAGAGGCTAATCTGAGTCCTTCACAAAAAAAAACTCCCCAATACGAGGGGGGGGGGGCTTGTGGGGTAGGAGGTATATGTATAACTCATATTGAGATGTCCCTCGGGATGGGAGAAACGATGACAAGGAGTCGCGCATTCGAAAGTGTTTCGGCGATGTCGTTTCTTTTTTTTTGCGATGGGATTATAAGAGAGAGAGAGAAAAAGAAACAGGGGCGGAGATGAGTGCAGGAGAATCAAGGGACTCACGGCTTGTGCTATCGGGACTGACGAAAGCGACTTGACGCTTATCCCGATTGTCTCGAGGGTTAGGTGAAACGTGGTGATTATCGCTTGGGTATGGATCCAGTTCATTCATCGAAGGTGTTGAGATGAGACTGGCGGTGGATGAGTCACGATGTTGTGAGTGATTGACTGAGCCTGAAGCGAGAGCAGCAGTTTCTTGATCGGTTGCTGACGAAGCAAGGGTAGAAGATGCTTGAGTAGTATAATCTACGGGTTTGCTTGAAGTTCCACTGGGTATGACAGCTGAACCGTGGTCATGTGAAACCCTCTTGCGATTGAAAAATTTCCTCATGATGATGATGATGATTGGGTATCGTTAATCGTTGAGGATGATAGGTGATGTGCGATTCCGGAGAGGATGCCGATCAGAGGAAGGCGAGGGTTGTTGAAGGGACGGTTGAGAGGGAGATGTGTCCTATGTGATTTGAAGATGTTGTCCACTCGAGCTGGTATTAGCCTAGTAGGGCGAGTTGAGGGGCATCAACCTGGTATACACAACAATAGGAGCAATCGGGTGAGAAAGCGGGCGACGGGCAAAGTTGACGGAGGATGAGAACAGGGAAAAAGAGAGAGAGAGGGAGAAAGAGAAAATATGTGTGTAGCTGAGAAAAGAGAGATCAGACTGAATCCAGAAGATGGTTTTTACCAGATGTGGTGGGTATATGGGGTGGGAAAAGAAGTCCAACCAGGCAGAGTAAAAAAAAGCCCTGCGCGGAGGAGTGGATTGGTCGTTTAAGGTTTGAGCCGAGAGGTGCCGTACAACCTAAATAGTATTTATTGATTTATTCAGTAATAATAATGGGTTGTATTCACAGAGGAAGCCAAGTGTATTGGGTGGTGAAGTGATCTCAGGAGGCTTCTGGCGTCGATTGATGTGAATTGGTGGTGAGGATGTATGGATTGGCTTGATGGCTGCCGATGGAATTCGAAAAGGATTGTGATTGCGATGAGCAGTTGGTTGAGAAGGATTCCGAGTGAGAATTGGGTTGGAGAAATCGGCTGGGGGAAAAATGTGGGTCTCTGTGGTTGAAGTTGTTTGGTTTTTTTTTTCTGTTCGAGGAGAGAGAGAGAGAGAGAGAGAGAAAGAGAAGTTTTGATTGGTTGGTATTCTTTGGATGATTGCTGATTGTGATGACGGTAGTAGTTAGTAGTGTTTGACTGTGCGAGAGGTGAGCTGGGATGGGATAGATGGTAACCAGGGGATATGAGAGAAGGCCCGATGGAAAGTGGACGAAAGAGGTAATGGCAGAGAGGGTTGTTCTAATTGGTGATGACTGTACAGACACTCAACTCTGATCGACTTCTCTCTTCAAATGTTAACTCTTGTTTTTTTTTGTTGTTGTATGTATGTATGGTAGTGCAGTAGTCGGCATACACATGCACTGCAAGAACATGAACGTGCACCAAGCAGGAGCTCAAATCGAAATAAGGAAAACAGGAAAAGAAAGGAGAGACAGAGAAAGAGAGTCGAGGCTGGTAGAAGAAGAAGATGATGATGATGTATGTATGTAGCTCACTCTGGGATGTTGCTGACCTCCCATGAAGTCCCCCGAGGATCGTTTGGGGTGTGATCGACAGTTTGAAGAAAGCAGAAGTCAATTTATCTTATTTCGATAGGATCGATGGCATCCGAAGGCTTGCTGACCGGTTCAAGTCTCAGAGCTTTTGTTTTTTTGGAAGCCGGTGAGCCGGTGCAGGGAAGAATATCAACCGGCGTTCTGGTACATAGGATGTGGTGTGGATTATGGAGCTCTGCTTTCCCGGGTGCGCTTTGTTTCTGGTTATCTTAATACCAGCTTTCTTGTGGTTGCGAGTCGATTTCGTGAGGTTCTTTATTTCATCAAGACCGGACGGACGTTCAAGGGTTCGTTGTGGTGACGAGACAACACTCGTGTGTGTATCGGCTTGTAGGATCTGGGATTTGACTGTTTTGTTTACTGCACTGGTACGTAGTACATAATAATGAGCGTAGTTGGATCTTACGAAGTTGATTGGGAAAGGAGTAAGTAACAGGTCGGATATAGTGTTATGTAAAAAAGAGAGCAAGTTTGAGATAAGCTAGAGTGGCGGTAAAGCAAGTCATGAAGCAGAAGAAGGAGAACATCATTACTGGCAAGTCCGACTTAAACAACTCGTCATGAGAACTGCGTTCGGACCACTTTCCTCCACAGGAAGATTACTCGGGATTCATCAATCTTAACAAGTTCTCATTTTGCTGATCCAGTGATAATCACCTTCACCATTTCTGCAAATGAAACACCAGGATGAATCCGAGCAACCGCACACAAAGCTGACCTCATGGTATCAGCAAAAGAAACAAACAACATCCAACAACATTTGATACTCTCAAGATCAAGTTATGTTGCACACAATATTGGTGGCTTAATATGACTCAAATCAGGAACTCATGAATGGGCAGCTCAAAAAGCACCAGGAGAAATTCCAGGGTACTGTGATCTGGTCCTAACTTAACTCAAGTCCCTCCGATTGGAGGGGGGTCCACGGACCCGGACAAAGGGGAACTTGGTTAAGTTGGTGTCTGGCTACCAACTAGCCTGGTTCATAGGGCCATTTCACATACTACTTGGGGCCATACAAACCCTGCTTGTTGAAAGTAACCTGGCTGCTTGGATGTGTTTATGTACACCAGATATTTATGGCTATCTTATATTAGGGCAGTTCAGGTTGGCCAAAAATTGTTGCTTATTTCAACAAGGTTTGTTGTTTATACACAGTTCTTTTGTAAAGTTCAAGTGTGGGATCTTGCTTCTATGTAAAGGGCAGCTCCAGGACCCCGGAAACCGCCCAAAATGTGGGTGACGTAGACACAAATTAACAAAAACCCAGGTTGACTTTTGACCATCCATGGAATTGGGATCATTTTAACATGGGGACATGTACAAGGAAGAGGTGCATCTTGTACATGTCTTCATTAGTCCTGAACCTGCACCATTCCCCCTTGATAATGGAACAACTATTTGAAGTATTGGAGAAGGCCC